CGGAGCCGGAGGCCGGCGCCGAGGGCTCCCCCCTAGACGTGGCCGAGCCGGGAAGCCCAGGCTGGCTGCCCGAGAGTGACTGCGAGACGGTGACCTGTTGTCTCTTCTCGGAGCCCACCCCCGCCGGTGCGCCCCGGGACGCGGGCGCCCCCCTGGCCGGGGCCGCCCCGGAGCCGGAGAGTAGCGGGCGGAGCCGCGAAGCCCGCTCGCGGCTGCTGCTGCTGGAGCAGGAGCTGAAGACCGTCACGTACTCGCTGCTGAAGCGGCTCAAGGAGCGCTCGCTGGACACGCTGCTGGAGGCGGTGGAGTCCCGCGGCGGCGTGCCGGGCGGCTGCGTGCTGGTGCCGCGCGCCGATCTCCGCCTGGGCGGCCAGCCCGCGCCGCCGCAGCTGCTGCTCGGTCGCCTTTTCCGCTGGCCCGATCTGCAACACGCCGTGGAGCTGAAGCCCCTGTGCGGCTGCCACAGCTTCGCCGCCGCCGCCGACGGCCCCGTCGTGTGCTGCAACCCCTACCACTTCAGCCGGCTCTGCGGGCCAGGTGAGCGCAACGCCGGGCCGCCTCCGCGTCTCTTTCCTCGCGCCCCGCAGTGGCCTCCTTCCTGGAGGGTGAGGGAGGAGGGGGGACCCCTGAAAGGAGGGGGACCCCCTCCTCCCCAAGAGAGGCGCCGCGATCCTGCGGAGGGGGGGGGAGCGCGCGGGAAACTGAGCGCACGCTGCAAAAGGCAGCTAACTTCATTTTAAGGTTCTAACAACGCCCAGAAGGAGGGAGCGCATTGTTGTTGTTTTTTAAGAGGTGTGATGGAGGCTTCAGTTTCGGGCTGAAAAAGGAGGGGGGGGCAGGCAAAGGGAAGGCCAAATAAGCGAGTGGCATTCCCTCCTAAGGTTTGGCAGTTGATCCCCCCCTCCTCTCCCTCCCTACTCCCCGTCTGCCCAGGTTTCCAGCCTTTGTATGCACATGCACATTCTTTTCTGTGCCCAGGTAACTGTCCTTGTGAAAATTGTGAAGACTGATTGTGGGTGCCGTGTTGGTAAAGTGTTCACTTTGCTCCTTTGTGTACTTTGGAGCACAGCGTTTGCACAACAATCCCTTCCTCATTTCCAACATCCTTCCACTATCCACCGTTTGAAGTTTTTATGTTCAGCTTGGCCACTTAGAGCCCTGGGGCATCTGAGCCTGGGTGAGGAAGCCAGGTAGTTTGTCACCTCTGAGAATGGGTCCCTCTTTGTTCTCTTCCAGGGATCTCCCGCATCCATTCACCCACTTCAGCCTGGCTTACCTAGGCAACTTGTGCACTGTAGCAACCCAGGTAAGCCAGGCTGAGGTGAGGAGAGGCTGGGGTCTGTGCAGTAGAGGAGTTCTGATTCCTGCCTTACCCCCCCTCTGGCAGGAACTGCTTTCTTAGAGGTGCATGTAAATCCATTAGGTAGTATTGGGGACTTTGTAGGGACAGAACTGCAGTTACAGGCTGTTGATCTGGGAAGTGGGGGGGGGTGGTTTCCCAAGTTCCTTAGGCCTGTTTATCCTGGAGAGTCAATGCACCGAGGGGCAGATGATGGGTGAAAAGAGAAGGTGTTTCTAAAAGCCTGGAATTATCTCCTGTATCATGTGAGGACTTGTGTTAGTAGACAGAAGGGAAAATGTTTCCCTTTAGTGGTAGTTGGAGAAGTTTCCCTTTTGTGGTGGTTCCTGAAGATATGGTACTGGGGTAAACTGCCCACTTTGTGTGGTCACTCCAGGGTCATTTTAGGGGCTTGGGTCAGGTCCTGAGTTGTGGCCCATACTGGACTTTGCCTGGCAGTTTGTTCCCTGGGCCTCCCCCAGAAGAGGCTTTCTTCCCTCTGCTTTCCTCTGCTTCTCTGGAGAAAGAACTCCTATTTGTGGTTGTCTTTGTGTAGTAGAAGATGGACAGACATGGGCCACAGACAGGTATTTTCTCTCATGTCAATGTACCAGCAAATGTTTGTTGAGCACTTGGTCTGTTCCAGGCACTGTGCCACCGAGCAGAGGGAAATGTGAGAGAATCTATGCCCTAGAGAAACAGAATCCTTAGGAGGGGGGGCGGTGGGGACAGGGAGAGAAGGGAAGAAGGGAAAGAGGCGGGGCAGGCAGTGCTTTGAACCACTGGGTGTTTTGAGTTTGTATTTAACTGGATGGCCTCTCTGAGCTCCACACCTCTTAACCTAGGGGAGCTGCCTTGCCAGATGGTGGAAGAGGGTCTCTTGGTTAGCCTAGAGCCCAAATATCCAGGTTGGAGGCCCCAGACAGGACTCCCTGCTCTTCTTACCCCTGCATGACCTGGGAGCCCAACTTTTGGTTTGGGTTTAGTGAACTTGGGCAGGAACAGGTTGAGAGAGAACCAGCAACTTGCAGTCACCTTAGAACCAGGTCTTGATTGCCAGTAGCTTAACCTCTCTTCTTTCTTTCCCTCTTGCTTTCAATGGGGATAGCTTTAGTCACGTTCCTTCAATCTGCTGTGGACTGGCACTGGGACTGGACTTTCTTCCTCCCTCCAGAAGGAGGCGCTATTGCGTGGGAGGGCAGCTTGGGAAGAAGGGAGGAAGAATTTCCAGTTTGTCCTGGTGACCCTCTCTGATCTTTGCTGGGACTGAGGACGGGAAAGCCCTCTGCTGCTGGCTCCCCCCTCCCCACCCCCCTCTGGCCTCCAGCCTGGTTCCCATTGCTGGGCTGGCAGCAATGGGACCCTGCTCCTTCCAGCTCTCAGGGGTGAGGGCTGGGACCTGGGATATGGAGACAGACAGACACACCAAGCAGACATACAACTAGAGTTAAAGTCCACCGGAACGCCCCGCACCAATCACCCATGCCCCACCCCCAGCTCACAGGTAATTCCCTGTGACCCAGTAACAATCCTGGGGAAGCGAGTGTCACCCTGGTGTGTCTGTGCCAGATCTTCAACCACCAATTTGCTTTGCGACCTTGGTCTAGCTAGGTGGGCTTTTCCATCTTCACAGATCTAGGGTTTAAGCTGGGTGCTGCTGGCTCAAGGCTTTATTCCTAGTTATTCAGGGAGGTTGTGAGATCTGAGAGTCTCCGGTTCGAAGCCCGCCTAGCCAGACAGATCTGTGATACTCTTATTTCCAATTAGCCAGCAAAAAAAAAGCCAGAAATAGAGGTGAGTCTCAAGTGGGAGAGTACTAGCCTTGAGAGAAAGAGAATGAACCAACTAAGCCTTAATTATTGATACCAAAAAAAGGGAAGGGGAGAAATTCTGGTGTTGGATGGAAGGGCGATTTCTAGTTCTCCCTGCCCTGTTTGCCCTCTCCAGAGGTCTTTGCCTGCCTGCCAGCCTCTGTCCTGGGCACCCTCTGGGGGCCTCTGGAATTGCTCTGCATGTGACTTCTGTGTGCCTTTTTACTGAGCGGGTGGGTGCCTATGTGGACGGAAATGTGGAGAAATACTTTAATCACAGTTCTGACCTGTGTTTATTGGGCTCCTTTCTCCAGAAAGTATCCATTAACTTTGGAAGAAATCTCCTGCTCTTTACTTCACCACTTCTTTTTTTTTTCTTTCTGTAATTATATTCAGTAAATTACTATTATCCAACTTGTGCCTGGGAAAAGAGATGGAGTGAGAGAGAAAACTTCTGAACGACGGGAGGAGGCTGCTTAAGAAAAACATTGGGTTCTCAAGCCAGGGGGGAATTAGAATGGGCTAAAAAGTTCTGTCTCCCCCCCCACCCCCTTTTCCTTAGCCTGGCATTATCCTTTGAAATGAGATCGATTTCCAGTTGGGCTTGTGAGCCCCCACCCCGCCCCACTGCGGGGCCCCTGGGCCGGTCTGCCGGTCCTGGAGGTGAGGAAGGGGTGATAATGTGCAGGGTGCCTCTTGCTGGCGCCAGCCGGCCGCGCTGTTTATCTGGCTGCCGGGGGAATCTGGGCAATTAGGCTCCGCCGGCCTTAAAGTGCCAGGAGCTCCTTTTCTGCTCTCCCACAGTGGAACCTTTAGCTGGGAGGTGAAGGGGGGGGGGGAAGAGGGTAAGGGAGAGGAGCTTGGGAGGCCCCGCCCCAATACTCAGCCACCCCTCGGGAGGGGGCAGGGGCTGTAAAAGCTCTAGGAAGATGTGAATCCTTTCCTGAGCAAGATGCCAGGGTGTTCAAGATCTGAGGTGTGGAAGGTAGTGTCCTGAATTGAAACTGTGCCCAGTACTGGGAGGGGCTGTGAACTGTCTTCTGGCTTAGAATGTGGGTCTAGATCCCAGAAGGCTAAGTACCCCTTGAGGGCTGACCTGGGGGGCAGCTGGGCAGGGCTGGAGACTAGCCATGCTGTGCTCTGGGTTCCTGGCCCTTAGCTATCCAATTGGTGCTCTTATTTCTAAAGGAAGTTGGAGGGAACTCCTGGAGTCCATACCTAAGGCTGGAGTTTCAGATCTCTGATCTCTGTCTGTCTGACACTCATCTCTCCTCCCACCTCCTCCAAAGTTTCTCTTCTGCTGCTTTGTCTCGCCTTACCTGAGTTCATATATTGGGGACTCATCTCAAATCTAGAGAAGCTTGGTCTAGGGGCAGTTGAGTTAGTACCTGTGGCTCCTGTATGTTATTCTAGCTCTTCAAGAGGCTTGAGATCTGAGGATTACCGTTTAAAGCCAGCTCAGGCTCGAAGGTCTGAGATTCTTCATTTAACCACCAAAAAGCTGGAAGTAAGGGGTGACTCAAGTGATAGAGTGCTAGTCTTGAGCAAAAAAGCTCAGGGACAGCACCTAGGCCTTGAGTTCAAGCCCCAGTATTGGAAAACAAAAAAGTATCCAGGATTATTCAAAGCACAATCATTTCATTGTACCCTGTTATAGTTGCCAATGTTTATTAGCTGATGAATGGGCAGACAAGCTGTGATATATCTATCTGTAGAATGGAATATTCAGGCATAAAGAAGAGTAAAGTAGTTGGGTGTGGTGGCTCATGCCTGTAATTCTAGCTACTCAAGATGGTAAGATCTGAGAATCACTGTTCAAAGCCAGCCATGGCAGGAAAGTCCTTGAGACTATTATCTCCAATAAACTACAAAAAAAACAAAAAACAAACTGGAAGTGGCACTGTGGTTCAAAGTGGTAGAGCACTAACCTTGAGTACAAAGCTTAAGGCCAGTGCCTAGGCCCCCCACCCTGACCAGTACTCCCCCCCCCCAAAAAAAGTAAAGTACCCGCACATGCTATCACGTAGGTGAATCTCGAGGGCATCATACCAAATGAAAGAAGTTTTAGGGTTTGGCAATTGGGGTATAGGAAGTGAAAGGGTGAATCTTGTCTGAATTATATCTCAATATTTTACAAAAGGATGATCAGGTATTGATTCCTAATTTGCTTTCTCCTTCGTTGAGTCAAAGTAGAATATTACACCTGCTACTGTCCTCTTCTGTGGCGTTGGGTGGGTACTTTACCTTGCTGGAGTGTGATGAGCCCCATGACCCCTTTTATTTCTCACATTCTATATCCTGTGTAATGGGGTGAAGGCCTTTGTACCTTCCATTTGCCGGTAGTGGTTTTGTGATTAGGTAAAGTTTCCTCCCCAAACCTCTGGTGTCCTTCATTAGCTGGTATGTCTACAGTTTGGGTTCATGGATTTTCTTTATGGCTCATTGATGACATTAGGAAATGCCAACTCAGATGTGGCTTGAGTGACTGTTACTCAAGGCCTAGGTTAACTCCTTCCCACCCTCCAGTGGTTTTTGTTTTTGTCAGTCCTGGGGCTTAAACTCAGGGCCTGGGCGCTGTCCCTGAGCTTCTTTTGCTCAAGGCTAGTGCTCTACCACTTGAGCCACAGTGCCACTTCTGGCTTTTTCTGTTGATATGGTACTGAGGAATTGAACCCAGGGCTTCATGCATGCTAGGCAAGCGCTCTACCACTAAGCCACATGCCCAGCCCCCTATGTTTATTTATTTATTTATTTATTTTTGAGCTGGTACTGGAGGTTGAACTCAGGGCCTAATGTTCTTGGTTGGCTTTTTTTGCTCAAGGCTGGTATTGTGCCACTTAAGCAACATCTCCATTTCTATGAAGATAAGAGTTTCTGACTTTTCCATCCCAGCTGGCTTTGAACTGCTATCCTCAGATCTCAGCCCCCTGAGTAGCTGGGATTCCAGGCATGAGTCACCAGTTGGCCTGGCTAGCTTTTGGGTTGCTAGTAAAGTCTTTGTAGAGATACTGGGGACAGTGGCTTGACTTCTGCTCGCACTTTCATTGCAGCTGAGTTTTATCTTCGGGAATAAGTGTGGATGGCAGATGGCCAGAGCACCATGCTATGTTGCTGAGCCTCAGACAATCATATATATCATTTTTGTGTGTGTGTGTATGTGTGTGTATACATACGTGTGTACATATATATGTATATATGGTATATATATGTCTATATGTATTGCAAAAGTTACCCTAATCTTAGGATTCTTGTAGGCTTTCTGGTACATTTGTGGGGTTATGACCAGGGCATGAGGTTGGAAGTAAGAGACTTGGCTCTGATTCAGGCTCTCCAGCCAGTTCCTGACCATGTCAGTTCCACTTGCCAGACCGTAGTCTCTTCTATAGTGGGGGCTCAGTTTCTTCTCATCCCTAAGTCCAGGGCCAGCATCAGAAGTGACTTCTAGCTGGGTGCCAGTGGCTTACACCTGTAATCCTAGTTACTCAGGAGGCTGAGATCTGACAATTACAGTTCAGAGACAGCCAGGGCAGGAAAGTCCGTGAGACTCTTATTTCCAATTAATCGCCATAACAGCAGAAGTGGCGCTGTAGCTCAAGTGGTAAAGCACTAGCCTTGAGCTGAGGAGCACAGGGATAGCACCCGCACCCATGCCCAGAGTTCAAGCCCCAAGACTGACCAAAAAAAAAAAAAAAAGTGACTTCAATGGAAGGCAAATATTCCCCTTCCATCCTTGATTTTCTTTTTTTCTTCATGCTGGTATTAAGGCTTGACATTATGGTTTGGGCACTGTTCCTTAGCTTTTTTTCTTGCTCAAGATTGGTTCTTTAGGGCTGGGAAGGTGGCTCAGTGGTAGAGCGCTTGCCTTGCATGCTCGAGGCCCTGGGTTTGATTCTTCAGAATCACATAAGCAAAAAGAAAAAAGCCGGAAGTGGCGCTATGGCTTAAGTGGTAGAGCGCTAGCCTTGAGCTGAAGAGCTGAGGGACAGTGCCCAGGCCCAGGGTTCAGGCCCCACAGCCGGACCCCCCACCAAAAAAAAAAAAAGAGTTTCATGGACTTTTCCTGCCTGGGCAGGTTTTGAACTGTGATCTTCAGATCTCAGCCTCCTGAGTAGCTAGGATTACTGCCCTTGAACCTTGTGGCTTAAAACCCCTGTGTGTCTTGTTACTGAGGTCCTGTCTCACACTTTTACCCTGTCTCCATTGTTATTATCCACTGACAGGAAGGCAGGGAGGCCTTGCTGAGTAGTGATTGTGCTGAGCTCTGACATAAGGATTCCCCCAGTCTCATTAAACAGAGTCAGTTTTGGATGCAAACTCTAGCTCTACCGGATGGACAGGGCAGAGCAAGTCAGTTTCCTCATCTGTGAAATGGGGTCATAATGTCATCTTACTTTTATTTTTGAGAAAGTTTTTTTTTTTTTTGCAGTTGTGGGGCTTGAACTCTGGGCCTGGACCCTGTCCCTGAATTCTTCAGCTCAAGGCAAAGTGTTCTACCACTTGAGCCATAGCACCACTTCCAGTTTTCTGGGAGATGAGAGTCTCACAGACTTTCCTGCCTGGCCTGGCTTTGAACCATGATCCTCAGATTTTTAGCCTTCTTAGTAGCTAGGAGTACAGGCGTGAGCCACCTGTGCCTGACAAGAAAGTATTAAACACAGAGAGGTGCCTGATGAACATGATTAACCACATAAAATTGAAAATGCTTGGCTTTTGTTTTTGGCTAATTGAAATCTCATGGAGTGTTGTTGTTGGTTTTTTGTTTTTGGCCAATCTTCTGGATCTCAGCTTTCCAAGTAACTAGGATTATAGGCAGGAGTCACTGGCGCCAGGCTTAGTAGTCACTTCAGATTGGAAAGGCCAGGCTGGGAGAGAAGCCTCCTATGGAGGACAACAAATGCTCTTACAACTAATTGTGCCTTATTATAATTGCAAAAATACTCATTACCCCTGTGTCATTCCTGATACCCGCCTAATAATAGTTATTACCACTTTATTACCACAGATGGAGTTTGCTTTAACTTGCAACTTGATGGTGTTTAGTTTCATTTATAGAAAATGAAGGGTCATTTCATTCATGCAAATTGTTACTTAGTTTAGCAAATTGTTGCTTCCCATAAAGCAAGAACCTAAGACATTCTTCTGAAGGCAAAGTATATGTTTTTAAGGAGGAGTATTTTAGGCAAATGAAAGAAACTCATAGGAAAAACACCATAGATAGACAATAAGGAATCTCAAATGCCGGGTGTGGGACAGTGCTCCACCCCTGCTTTTATTTCGAGCAGAAAAGTAGGAAGGTAGATGTGGTTAATTTAGGGCCCCCTATCAAGATACCTGAGCCAGGTGCCAGTGAGTCATGCCTGTAATCCTAGCTACTAAGAAGGCTCAGATCTGAGGATGGTGGTTCGAAGCCAGCCTGGGTGGGGAAGTTCATGAGACTCTTGTCTCTAACTAACCACTAGAAAACTGAGACGCGCTCTTTAAGTGGAGGTGTAGCTCAAGCAGTAGAGCTTAAGAGACAGTAGTACCCAGGACCTGAGTTCAAGCCCCACCACTATCACTACCAAACACCTACCACCACCAAAAACAAAAGATACCTGAGTTGGGTTTGAATTTCAAGTACCTAATTCTTATTCCCAGGAATGTTAGTTTGGTAAAAAAAAAAATTTTCCTGTCTCGGGGCTGGGAAGGTGGCTCAGTGGTAGAGTGCTTGCCTTGCATGCCTGAGGCCCTGGGTTCGATTCCTCAGCACCACTTAAGCAAAAAGAAAAAAAAGCCGGAAGTGGCGCTGTGGCTCAGGTGGTAGAGCGTTAGCTTTGAGCTGAAGAGCTGAGGGATAGTGCCCTGGCCCAGAGTTCAGGCCCCATAACCGGACCCCCCCCCAAAAAAAATTTTCCTGTCTAGACCACTGTGTTCACCCTCAGCTCTGATCAGGCCTGCCAAATTTAGCAAATAAAATGCAGAAAGGCCGGGTTTAACTTAATTTCACGAGGGTAGCATAATCTAGTATAAGTATTTCCCATCTACTGTGCAGGGCTATACTTACATTACAAAAGCATGTTTACCCCGCATTCAAATTGAAAGGCTTCTGCTGTAGTGGATGGGTCTTAAGGCCTGACTCCCCACCCCCACCCACCCCCAGGCTCTCTTGTTATGATAATAATAGGTTCTCTTTGTAAAGATGTTTTTCCTCTGTGCCTGAGCTGTGCTAAGCATTTTACATACATTATCTTCTTTTTCCTCTTGGTAAAGCCAGGAGGTCTGTGATTATCATCTCCCATTTAGAGCCGAGGAAAAGGACTGGAGAGGAGGGGTGCCTTGCCTGAGCTCACACCAGAGGAGGCACTGTTGGGGTTGAGCACCCTAAGTTCTGTGTACTATTCCATTAGGTTTGGGCAGTTGGGGTGATGGGAGAGGTTAAGGGAGCTTCCCGAGACCTCAGATCATGATTTCAGGAAAACAGTTATAAAAGCACACCGAACCCCAGGTTGTGCAGTCCGCTTCGCCCAACAATGACAGTTTATCTTCTGTCTTCTAGAATCACCGCCACCCCCATATTCTCGGCTGTCTCCTCGGGACGAGTACAAGCCACTGGGTAAGTGCACCCCCCCCTTTCTGGCTTGAAAGCCTTGATGCTTTGAAATGGGGGCAATGTGTTTTGTTTTTTTTTTTTAACAAACATTCCCAGGATTGGGCTAACGCTGAGCCTATATTTACATCTTGAAATTCCTGCCTCATCGTTAACCTCCACGTGACCTTTAACCAAGGGCCTGTAAGAGATGAATGGCTTAGAGGTGGGCTGGAATTCTTGGGATTTCTCTTTGCCCCTTTTCCTCCCCAGCCTGACACTCAAAGAGAAGGAAGGAGGGGAAAGGGGAAGGAGGAGAAGGGAGAGATGGAGAGAAAGAGAATATTGGTATTGGGAGCTTGAACTCGGGTCTATCACTATCCCTTGTCTTTTTCTGCTCGAGGCTGGCACTCTACTACTTGAGCCATACCTCTGCTTCTCAATTCTGCTGGTTAATTTGGATTAAAATCCAAATTTCTGCCTGACTTGGAACCAGAATCCTTAGATCTCAGCCTCCTGAGGAGCTAGAATTACAGGCAGAAGCCACTGGCACTGGCCAGTGTGTTTTAATTGAGTGTAACACACCTATTGGGCACCAAATTTTTGTGTGTGTTGTGTTCCCATCATGTCTCCATCCCTCACCCTACCCCCCCCCCCTTAAGTCAAGATGTTTACCTGGGCAGAAGTGACAATGGGAGCAGGTAGGGAGAATGTGTCTTGCTACATAAGGGCCCCGGCTTGGGCCTGTCCTGTCCCCTAGGGGAGCTTAGTGGTCTGGCAATGTCTTTTCAAACAAGTTCTCAAACAAGTCCTATTCTGAGGCAGGCCTTGTGTCCTGTGGAAGCTTGAAACTCAGGAATGCATGGAGTTTCCAGGTGGAGCTACTTGTGCTCTTGTCTTTGGGGCTGTGATTTCAATGCAAATCAGTGTCCGGCCAGTGATGGAGTCTGTGGGATTCTGGCAGAGGGTCAAGATGGCCTTAAAGGCCCCAGGAGAGCCAGGCTCCATTGCTTAGCCCTATAACTAGGAGACTGAGATCTGAGGATTGTAGTATAAAACCGGCTTGGTTGAAAAAGTCCCTGAGACACTTAGGTTCAGTGAACCACCAAAAGGCTGAAAGGAGAGGTGTGGCTCAAATGTGCCTAGGGTGAAAAAGCCAAATGAGAATGTGGAGGACCTGAGTACCAGCTCCTAGAGAATGACCTTGTGACCTGGGCAGTTTCTCTGGGGGATGCTAGCTTCTAAAAGTCAGATGGTGTGGCATTGACTCCATTCCTGAGAAGACCCAGGGGTCTGGCTGTTAGTGTTGGTAAAGGGATTTTCCCAAGCCGGGTGCTGGTGGCTCACACTTGTAATCCTAGTAATCCTGAGTAACTAACTCAGGAGGCTGAGATCTGAGGATGGCAGTTCAAAGCCAGTCCAGCAGGAAAGTCTGTGAAAGTCTTTTCCAATTAACTATCAGAAAACCGGAAGTGACGCAACAGGCTCAAAATGGTAGAGCACTAGCCTTGAGCAAGAGTGCTCAGGGATAGCACCCAGGCCCTGAGTTCAAGCCTCAAGTCCTATGACTGACCAAAATAAAGGGGGGGGGTAATGGGGGGAATTCTCTCAAGAGGATACACACCATCTGTTCGAACTCTCAGGAATCCCAGGCCCTCACCCCAGGCTCCGTGAGATCAGAAGTGTCCATCATGACCCCCATAGGGAGGGTGGAGGCTGTGAATCAGTGATGTCTTTTGGATGGAGAGCTATATTCAGTTCAGCAATTACCTGGAGCACTTGGTCACCTGGCAAGATAGATTGGAAGCAGCTGAGTAAGGGGTTGGAAGCACCCAGTTAGGGAGCTGCAGGGCTGAGGCCCAAACCCAGGAGCTAGGTACCAAACCCTTAGTTCCGTTAGAGGAAAAATCCTAGCCCTAGACTGTCTAGCCAGTGAGGTCATTAACCTGGGAGACTCATTTGGCCCTAGTCTCCTGAGTAGCTAGGATCACAGGTGTGAGCCACTGGTGTCCAGCCTGGCTATTTTGGGGGGGTGAGGGAGGGGAGGGGAGGGAAAAGGGGTACTGGGCTTGGGGCTTGAACTCAAGGTCTAGGCACTGCACTGTCGCTGAACTCTTTGTTCAAGGCTTGTGCTCTACCACTTGAGCCATACTCACAGCAAGCCTTTTTAGTGACTAATTAGAGATAAAAGAGTATGGACTTTCCTGCCTGAGCTGGCTTTGAACCATGATCTTCAGATCGCAGGCTTCTGGGTAGCTAGGATTACAGGTGTGAGCCACCTGTGCCAGGTGGTTTATGCTTTTAAAATGGCTTGGAAAAATTCCATGGAATTCAGGTTTTAGTGTCAGAAGTCAAGTTCCAGCCACGTGTCTGTCCACTTCCCCATTGCTCTGGCTCTCAGGATGAAGCAGCTCAAAGTTGAGTAGTTGCGCTACAGTGGTAGGACTCACAAGGCTAAAGATAACTTATTTATTCTCTGGTCCTTGATAAGAAAAATGATGTATCTTTAACTTACAAGAAATACTACAGACAGGCTGGGAAGGTGGCTCAGTGGTAGAGTGCTTGCCTTGCATGCATGAGGCCCTGGGTTCGATTCCCCAGCACCACATAAGCAAAAAGAAAAAAAGCCAGAAGTGGCACTGTGGCTCAAGTGGTAGAGCGCTAGCCTTGAGCTGAAGAGCTGAGGGACGGCGCCCAGGCCCAGAGTTCGAGCCCCACGACCAGACCCCCAAAAAAACCAAAACAAAACAGAAATACTAGAGACTTGAATGGAATAGAATACAAAGGTAACTTAAACCCTTCCTCTAATGGAAAAACTTTAAAAAAACTACTTGGAGTTGGAGGTGTGGCTCTTGTTGGAAGAGGGCAAGCTGATGAGCAAAATTGTCAGGTACCAAGTTCTAGTTCTGAAAAAATAAAAATGCGGGGGTCCCTAACACTACTGACATCTTGGTGTTGAAACTTGAACCTGGGGATCCACCTTATATCCAGAAGCCTATCTGCCTGCACGTGGGCAGCCTGGGAAGTTGGGACTGCCTTAGGTAAGGTCCTCTTTGGATTAGCCTGGATGGTTTGGCCAGGGTGTAACAGGAGTGAGCAGCTATGAAGAAGGGCAAGGGGGAACATCGTGCCTTTCTGCCTCCCTCTGGATGCTTTGTAGCACTGTCTGTGGACATTGGCTGAGAAACAGCACTCAGTGCTGACTCTGCATTTCTCCTTCATGTGAGAATGGCTGAAAAGCCAGACTGAGCACTGGGGAGCATCAGGGTATCAAATGCTAAACCTAGCCCGGGGCTCACACCTGTAATCCTGGCTACTCAGGAGGCTGAGATCTGAAGATCTGAAGACTTTGTCTGAGCAGCAAAGTCTGTGAGACTCTGATTAACCACCAAAAAGCCATAAATGGCTCAAGTGGTTGAGCACCAGCCTTGAGCAAAAAAACTAATGGAGAACAGCACCAGTAATGATCCCCTCCACCCCCCCCCCAAAAAAAAAGACCAAGGGTTATTTTGTTTATTTTTCAAGATTTTTCCATGAGCCTTTATTTCCCCTTAGTTTTCCCCCAGCAGTTAATTTTTTTTGTGTGCCAGTGATACATAGTCCCAAGTGGTTTTCTTTTTCTTCTTCTTTTTGTTATTTTCTTTTACTTGTATTGTTACTTTTTCATAAACAAAAGTCCCCTTCACTTCTAAGCCTCTGTGATCACATGAGATTAAAAAAAAAAAGAAAAAAGAAAATCCAAAATAAAACACAGAATATCCAGTCAGCATCTGGCAAGTAGAAAACCAGAGAGAGAGAGAGAGAGAGAGAGAGAAGAAAAAACAACAACAAAAAAACAGGCCAAATTGGTTACAATTTCATCTTCCTGCTCCCCAAGCCATGTGGTAAAAGTAAAAAAAAATCCTGCAAGATGGAGTGGAATTCTCCTTAGCTGCAGGGGCCTAGGCTAACGGTTCTCTCTGCATCCCAGTATGTCTGTATTGGGCCAGGTGGGGTCAGCTATTGCCAGATGTGGGTCTGGCTGAGCAGAAGAGGAAAAGCCCTGGGCCTCTGGGCATATATGTCTCCCACCTCCTGGACAAGCCTGTCCACCAGGAGACAACACACTTCCCCTCCAAAGAGAGGCACAGACCAGGAAAAAGTTCCAGAAGGCAGAAAACAGGTTGTCAAGGCAGCAGCTCAGAGTAGAAGAAAAAAAAAATATGCCAAAGTATTTTTTGTTTTGTTTTGTTTTGTTTTTGCTGGTTGTGGGGCCTGAACTCTGGGCCTGGGCACTGTCCCTCAGCTCTTCAGCTCAAGGTGAGCACTCTACCACAGCACCACTTCCGGCTTTTTCTGCTTATGTGGTGCTCAGGAATCGAACCCAGGGCCTCATGCGTGCAAGGCAAGCGCTCTACCACCGAGCCACCTTCCCAGCCCTATGCCAAAGTATTTTAATTCCAATCGCAGCTAGTCAGAAGGCTTGAGATCTGAGTGAGGATCATGAGTCAAAGCCAGTCCAGGCATGAAAATCCATTAGATTCTTTTTCCTAATCACCCAAAGCTGGAAGTAGAACTGTGGCTCAAGTGGTTAAGTGTCAGCATTGGGTGAAAAAGCTAAGAGACAATGCCCAGGCCCTGAGTTCTAGTCTCAATACTGTCACAAAAATAAAGGAAAAGAGAAGAAAGAATTTACCTTCCCACCTCCCTGTGCTGCACACAGGGCAGAACAAATCTATTCATCATGTAAAATGCTCTCACTTGTGTGTGTATATGTGTGTGTGTGCCAGTACTAGGATTTGAACTCAAGGCCTTGTACTCTGGCTTGGCTTTTTCACTCAAGGCTGGTGCTTTATTACTTGAGCTATACCTCCACGACTTTCCTGATGAGAGTGGCTTTGAACCTTGATCCCTGGATCTCAGCCTCCTGAGTAGATAGGATTACGGGTCTGGCTTCTTACACCTGTTTTTAAAAACCAGTCCAGAGCTGGGAATGTGACTTAGTAGTAGAGTGCTTGCCTAGCATGCATGAAGCCCTGGATTCAATGCTGTGGCTCAAGTCGTAGAGTACTAGCCTTAAGTAAAAGAAGCTCAGGGACAGTGCCCAGGCCCTCAGTTCAGTCTCCAGGATTGGCCAAAAGAGAGAGAGAGAGCCAGGTGCTGGTGGCTCACATCTGTAATCTAGCTGCTCAGGAGGCTGAGATCTGAGGATCACAATTCAAAGTCAGCCCAGGCAGGCAAGTCCATGAGACTCTTATCTCCAATAAACCACTAGAAAACCGGAAGTGGTGCAAGGGCTCAAGTGGTAGAATGCTTGCCTGGAACTGAAGAGCGCAGGGATGGCGCCCAAGCCCAGAGTTCAAGCCTCATGACCGACATAGAGAAAGAAAGAGAAGAGAGCGAAGGGGACCACAAAAAAGGGAATGAGGCTATTTCTCCTGCATCCCCACTGCACTTTTTTTTTTTTTGCGGGTTAGGGGCTTGAACTCTGGGCCTGGGAGCTGTCCCTCAGCTCTTCAGCTCAAGGTTAACACTTTACCACTTGAGCCACAGCACCACTTCCAGTTTTTCTGGTGGTTCATTGGAGATAAGAGTTTCAGGGTCTTTCCTGCCTGGACTGGCTTTGAACCATAATCCTCAGATCTCAACCTCCTGAGTAGCTAGGATTACAGGCATGAGCCACCAGCACCTGGCTTAGTGCACTGGTTTTTGTGGGGGAGAGGGAGACTGTGGTCAGAACCCCAGTGTCCAGAGAAGATTGTCTACTCAACCCAGGATGCAACCTGATTGGATATGGAGCATTTTAATCTAAAATGGTAACTTCCTAGTGGAAATGTGATGATGACCAGACAGTGAAAAAGCCTTTGTGGAGTGTTGGTGGTATAAATGTTTGGAGGTGCCTCATTTTGTCTTTGTGTTGTGGTGCTGATATCTAGTGATTGAACTAGAGTCTAAGCATTGTTTTTTAGCCTTTTCAGGTCAAGGCCAGCAAGTGGTGGTAGTGACTTGGAAATAAGAGACTCAATCTTAGCCAAATCCCCTTGGCTCATGCTTGTAATCCTAGCTACTCAGGAGGCTGAGATCTGAGGATCGCAGTTCAAAGCCAGCCCAGGCAGGAAAGTCTGTGAGACCCTTATCTCCAATTAATCACCAGAAAACTGGAAGTGGTGCTGTGGCTCAAGTAGGAGAACACTTGCCTTGTGCTGAAGAGCTGGGGGACAGCACCCAGGCCCAGAGTTTAAGCCCCATGACCAAAAAAAAAAAAAAAAGCTCAGGGATAGTGCCCAGGCCCTAAGTTCAAGCCCTAGGACTGGCAAACAAAAACACAACAATCCAGACATAGAAAGCTACTCTCAGAACTGGTTGGGATGTTGGAGATGGAGGGGAAGAGGGAGAGAAAAAAAAATGGTTCATTTGGTCATATTCATCTACTTGAGCCCTTGAGCCCTTAATGAGAGGGGTGTAGAGTAGAAAGGGTGAAGATGGTTGTGTTTGTGAAAAGTTTCCCAGCTCCAGTGGGAGGAGGAAGCAGGGAAGGAAGGAAGCAAGCAAGCAAGCAAGAACAACTTCAAGAATTTTAATGGTTGTAATTAAGTACAGCAACTATGAATTGTTTAGGAGCTTAATTTAACCTTACCCGACAAGGCTCCAAGTTGCTACTTGCTCTGGTCCCTTGAGCTTAGGTTATTTTTTGAGGTGAGCCATTGAAACTTTTCCAGGTGCCAGGATGGTCACAGTCAACTATCTTCCAGAAGAGTTTTAGGGTGGTTAACGTAGTTATGTGGGGGTGATCCAGGATGGGATTACAAGGTGTGACACCCATGGGCGGTGAGGGGCAGGCAGCTCTTTGTGTGTGTACACATGCGCACAGCCACCAGATGCATGAGCCACGCCCCCAACTAAGTTCTCTCTCTTCTACCAACAGATCTGTCCGATTCCACATTGTCTTACACTGAAACGGAGGTCACCAACTCCCTCATCACTGCTCCGGGTGAATTCTCAGGTTGGCTTTTTTTTTTTTTTCTTTCTCCTTACATGTTGCTGTTGGGTTGATTGTGTTACAGGACTGGGACACTTGATGGAGGTCTTTTCGATCTCTCTGCTCTCCTCCCTTCTTGCACATTTCTTCTTTCCTCCCACCCCACTGGCTGGGAAGGTTGCCAGCATGTGGATCGCCATCTGTGCAGCTGGTTGTAATGGCACATTTGTAATCCCAGTACTTGAGAGGCAGAGGCAGGAAGATCCCAAAGCTCAAGGTCAACCTGAGTAAGAGTCTCACGTTCCTGCCTGGGCTGGCTTTGAACTACAATTCTCCGATCTCAGCCTCCTGATTAGAGCTGTGAGCCGCCAGCACCCAGGGAGAGTGTGGCTATTTCAGAGATGGGAAGGATGGAGGGAGCCAAGGCAGACATGTGGGTGCTGGGCACCACGCAGGTCCAGCTCCCTGGTGCCCATTCCTTCTCAGCTTTGGAGGATGCTCCCTTCCCTTCTGTGCCCATTGGCCCTATTTGGATGTAATCTTTTCTCTTAAACACTGGCCAGATGAACACCACCATCCCTTGTTCTATCTTTGTACCTTCAGAGGTAGAAGTGCCACAGAGGATTTTGAAGCGAGGGGTTTAGAAGGATGTTCTAAAATGGATGATTCGCCTAACCTCACAATAGGTTTAATTTAGATGGGTTTTATTAGTGGCTGTCTGGACAGGACAGGTGGCTCTCCTGAAATTCTCTTCCTATTATTAATGGTAGAAATTGTGTGTGTGTGTGTGTGTGTGTGTGTGTGTGTGTGTGTGTGTGTGTGTGTGTGACAGAGGGGGGGAGGGAGAGGGAGAGGGAGAAGGAGAGAAAGAGATGGTAGGCACTCTTACCTATTTCAGTTATCCTAGAAGGGTCCTGGTTTGCCTCCAGCTGGAAGGAGTAGGTGCCAGAGCACCTGTAGGAGGCTCCTCCCCAATCTGGTTGGTAGGAGAGCGCCCCCTGGAGGTCGGGAGGCCTGTAGATTATCCACTGGACACAGAGCAGGTGCTCTGTGGGTTTAGGGGGCCTGTTTTGGGATTTGCGTTCACCTATCTCAGAAAAGGGTCTTTGATGTTGGATAGTAAAGAGAACGTCACTATTCTTGATTGTGTGGCTTTCAATAAAAAAAAAAATTTCCAGTGTCTTGGGATGCTAAAAGATTTTGGGGAAACATTTTGGATTTGTCATGGCATGACCACTGACTGTGTGCCCAAAGACGCGTGTCCCTTGAACTCAGGGCCTTGTGCTTTTCCTCACCTTTTTCAATTACGGCTAGTGCGTTACGACTTGAGTCACATTTCCAGTACATTGTTGGTTAATTGGAGGTAAGAATCTTGAGTTTGTCTGCCTGGGCTGGCTCTCAATCTCGATTCTCTGATCCCAGCTCTTCAAGTTGCTGGGATTTCAGGTTTGAGCCCCTGGTACCCTGCTTTGCCTGACGTCTTGATGGATTGTGTTCTGAGTTCCAGGTGGCCCTACTAGGAGAGCGAAGTGGTCCCCTCTGTAGCCAGCCATCCAGGTCTCTTCTAAGTAAGGCATTTGTCCTGTCCTTGGAGCTGCGTGGCTGTCACACCAGAAGGCAGAGAATAGAAGATGGGCCTTGGGGCATGACAGTTGGTGGTGGGTGGCAAACAGGATTCATGTTGCCAAGGTAGAGTGAAGATTGACTAGGAAGGTGAAGTCAGAAAAATGAGGGGCAGAGGTGGGTCTAGCAGTACATTTGATGTTCAAAGGCAAATGATACTGATGATGGTGCTGATGGCGGGTGGCATTTATGGAAACGGACACATGCCTGACATCTTGATAAGTGCCAGCTGCCCTCCTGCTCACTGACTCCCTGCTGTTGACACTGGGAGACAGGTGTGATCCTTCTGATGAGGAAACCTAGGCTTATGATTGAACTCGCTACACTGTCATTCTCAGATTGTGAATGGCAGCTTGGATTGTGAGCCTGGGTGGTCCAACCTTCCTTAGCATGGGTTTCTGTCCCCTCTTTTAAGCCAGACCCCAGTGTTTAACTGCGGGCCAAGCAGAGTGGTCAAAAGGAACCAGGGGAACCGGGTACTGGTGGCTTAGGCCTGTAATTCTAGCTACTCAGAAGGCTGAGATCCGAGGACTGCAGTTCAAAGCCAGCCCAGGGAAGGAAAGGCCATGAGTGTCTTATAGCCAATCAACCACCAAAAGACCTGAAGTGGAGCTGTGGCTCAATGTGGTAGAGCACTAGCCGTGAACATAAAAGCTCAGGGATCGAGCCCAGGACCTGAGTTTCAGGACTAGTACCCTTTCCCTAAAAAAGATTCATTGGGCCCAGCAGACTCCTTTCAGATGTGCAATGAGAACACATGTTAAGCTGCCTGATAGGGAGATAGGGTTGGCCCTTCCAGTGGCCTTGGTTGTATGTGAGGATGTCTCAGTTCCCCAGTACCCTGGCTTCCTTCAAGTGTCATCAGTGAGGCCACACCCCTCTGTTTCCAGAGGGAAATTCAAAGAAGAAGGGGGCAGCCACAGGACCACTGGACAGTGGGCACTAAGGTAGACCTGGTGTCCGTCCCCCAGCCAGGCATGACAAGGTATAGGTGCTCCTGTCCATATTTCTACCACTTGAGCCTTCACTTCTGGCTTTTTGGTAGTTAACTGGAGATAAGAGTCTCATAGACTTCACTTCCCTGGTTGGTTTTCAACTGTGACCCTCAGGTTGCAGCCTCCTGAGTAGCTAGGATTTCAGATGTGAGCCACCAGGGCCTGGCTTTCTGTGCTGTTCTTGCCAGCATCTGAACCTTGGGAAGAGGACGAGAGAGCTGAGCTTTCCTGTAACATCTTAGCTACTCTTTTCCATTATTCCCTAAAGCATACTGGGACAAAGACTTGCCAGAAAGGACTGGTGTCCTGTATTTCTGATAGAGAGTCTCAAGGAAAGCTTTATAAGAAAAGGCAATTATAGCTAGATGCCCGTGGCTCACACCTATAATCCTAACTACTCAGGAAGCCTAAGAGTTAAGGATCATAGTTTAAAGTCCACATGATTCTTATTTCTAATTAACCAGCAAAAAACCAGAAATGGAGCTGTGGCTCAAGTGGTAAAATGCTAGCCTTGAGTGGAAAAGCTAAGGGATGGTGCTTAGGCCTTGAGTTAATGTCTCAGTTCCAGCACCAAAAGAAAGGTGATTTTGAGTTGGGTTTTGTAGGATGTCTAGGAATGCACTAGAGATAGGCAGAAAAAGGAAGCTGCTGTAGCACCGTGTTCGAAAAAGCTGCGACTAGAAAGCAAATAGGTGATAGATGGCAGGTCAAGGAAAGGTGGAGCCAGAATGTTTGTCCCTCTGTTTGAGGGACTAGAGCAGAGGGATTGTGGCCACTGAGACCAGGGAATCCTGGGATATAGTTGGTCCTGAAGGAGTTTGTCTGGCATTCAGCCATTCCTCCGCAGGGGGTCATTGTTGGAATAAATGAATGGATTTTTGTCTGGAACAGAGAGATCCAAAGAGAGTACATACAGATAAAGACAGAAAAATCACACGTAATATTTGATCATCACAGCCAATGCACAGCTGTGTGCCAGGCACGTTCTTGGACAATAACACCTATTCATGAAATTGCAGAAACTTTCTTTTATTGTGAGTGTGTGCTTGAACTTTTTTTTTATCGTGAGTACTAAGGCTTGAACTCAAGGCCTAGGAGCTGTCTCTTAGCTTTTTCGCTTAAGGCTGGTGCTCTACCACTTGAGCTACGGCTCCTTTTCCAGCTTTTTGCTGGTTAATTGGAGATAAGAGTCTCAGGGATTTTCCTGCCTGCCTGGCTTCAAACCTCACATTTCGGTCTCCTGAGTAGTTGGGATCACAGATGTGAGCTGTGCCGGAGTCCAGTGTGCAGGTACTTCCATTAGACAGATTAGAGGAAGAAGTAACTGGAACTCAAGAGAGGTTAGGTCACTTGCCTAGGGATTGGGAGCCAGGTATTGCTGGTATTGCTGTGTTCCCCTGGGTCTGAGTAACCATCTCTGCCCACTGGAAGGTGCTGGACACTAATACAAGCGAAACTTCTGGGCTACTGTTCCCAGGCATCCTGGATTTAGGGCCTCAGGGTAGCCCTGGTACTGGTGACATGAATCACTCCATGGAGCTGGTGTAATAACAGTGAGGGGTGACAGGATGACTTTTTTTTTTTTGGTGGTAGTTAATTAGAGATAAACAATCTCATGGTCTCCCCTGCCTGGGCTGGCTTTGAACCCTCCTCAGAGCTCAGCCTCCTGAATAGCTAGGATTATAGGTGTGATCCCCTGGCACGCGGCCTGGCTGTCTGGTTCTGAGTTGGGTAGATGGCTGATCCTCAGGATGACCAAGGACTCCAGGGAAGGACCTGGAGCAGACTAGCTACCAGTGGGTTTTCTGAGGACCGAAAGTTCCAGAAAATGTACTCGGTTCCTTCCAGCGTAATCACAACCATCTGTGCCTGCGGCCTGCTCTCCTCTGTCCCCCGGGCACGCTCTGCCCGGGCATGGGTCACAATCGGGAGCAGGGCTGGAAGCTCCCTTGTTGGGGTACAGTGGCTGTTGGCAGGGGTTCCTTCTTTGATGCAGGAAATATATCCTGCAGGTACTTGGTCAGATGTTTTTATATTAAACATTTTCCCCTGTGGCCTTTGGCTGCTGAGAGGCGCTGAGAAGCGTGGCTTTTCCAGTCACCCTTTGTGGAAAGAATGCCTGATATTCGTGGGCTGTGTGTCCCCAAATCAGGCCTCTCTGCACCCCGCCAGTGAGGGCGAGGCCTGGCACTGGCACCTCTGCCAGGGGGCTGTTCACTCTCCCCCTCACCTCACGCTAGAAGTTTTTAGTGTGGAAAAACAAGTCTCATGCTTGGAGCAGACATCAAAGCTACCAGGTCCAGACGGCAAGGTGAATCATGGCGAGACTCTGGATGACCTTTCGAGTGGTGGGGAAGAAAGGGTGTGGGGTGGGACTTGCAGGGGGGAGGTGGAGGGAGGGGAGCT